TTTGTGTCAAATTACTTGTGTTCACGTCACAACCCACGTCTCATGTTTTGAGTGTTACACACTTACTAAATTAAAAAAAGTATTAGTGTGCTTTTTCGATCAGCGTGACATACAAACACCCATTCACCTTATCCCATACAAACCCACACCAAATGTCAATCAATAATACTAGCAGTGGCAAAACTGTCAACAAACAAATTAAGGGACCACTCAGTTACTAAGAAAACATTCAGGACCTTATGGATTACAAGTCCACAAAATGGAATTTACTGGTCAATTCTCCTTTTTTTTTTAAACTATTTTATATGCACCTTACTTAGATGTATCTAAAAAATAAAAAATTTGTGAAAAAATATTTTTAAAAATTAAGAAATACATAAAAATGTACTGAATTCTCGTTTTTTTTTTATATTTTTGGTATTTAGTGAATTTTTAAAAAGTTTTTTTCACAAATTTTTTACTTTTTAGGCATATTCATGTTAGGTATATCTAAAAATTAAAAAATTATTTAAAATATTAAAAAAAATTAGTAAAAACAAAAAAACTCAGAAAACAAGAAAGTAAAATTTTCTGAAAAATATTTTTGGAAAACTCTAACCAAGCAGTGTTAATTTTTTTACCTCATATTTTAACAAAAAAATTAAAAAATTACTAAAATAGTATTCCCAAACGAGGTTTTTAAGAGGGAAGACACACATACAAGAGACAACTTATTGGTTTTTTGGCATCTCTTATATTAGCATATTTTTTATTTATTTTTTTAAGTCACATCATTTCTTTATATTTTTACATATTTTTTTATAAAAAATTAAAAAATATTTTTAGCTAGATCATTTCAAATAAACTATTACTGCCTCTACAAAAAACAAATTCTATGCTGGTGGTCAGTGTTGATTTGAGAGGGAATAGCACCAATAAGTGCATCTTTCTTCTCTCCATTCTTGAATACCACATCGGGTTGCAATTGATTGAGGATTACTTTTATAGTGAAAAGTTATTTTTTATTTTTTAATTTATTTTAAATTATATTATTTTTCATATTTTTTTTAAAAAGAAAGTTTAAAAAAATTAATTTTTAATCATCTCTTCAAAATAATCCTAAATCTCGTCAGTGTTCACCTTAGAGTTGATGATAATAGTGAGGGTTGAGGGGATAAATTGAAATTTTAGATTGATGAACAAGATGATAATTGAAATTTAGAAAAGAAAATTAAGAAAGATGAATATGAATAAAACATAGGGGGATGCACCAATAAATTATTTTATAATTTAATATGTATTATTTTTATTAATAAATTTATATTAAAATATAATAAAAATTAAAATTTTAAAATTTTAATTAAACTTATTGAATTATTATTGGGTGCAAATGGAATCACCATAAGCAGATTGTAGTGCCAGCCCACGATAATAACAGTGCAACCCAAATCTAAGCCGTCAATTACTTATCTATCTAATCTCTGTCCGACCCAAATCACTCCACTCATCAACAACATATTCAAACATATCCTTCAACCTCTCCCCATGGACGCGATCGCAATTCGAGCTGCACCTGCATTTACAATCAAACCCCGCAAATCTCTTTCTCTCTCTTCACTCTCTCTCTCTAGAAATCAATTCTCATACACCAACAACAACAGCAACAATTCGCGAAATTCTCAGAAGCTAGTGAAGGTGGAGAGCAGAGGAAGCAGCAGAGACGACGTCGCATTCGACGAGTCGGCCTACGAGGCCGAGAGGCTCAGGCTCGACGCCAAGGCACGAAATTCGATGGCCGAGACGTCGGAGAGAGAGATCGCCGACCATGACGACCCGAGAGCTTGGAAATGGGCGATCCGAAAGCGGGTTTGGGATATGATGGAGGCCCAGAACATAGCCCAGTTCCCTCGGCCCGTTCACCATCGTATTCCCAACTTCGTTGGATCGCCAGCCGCTGCTAATAAGGCACGTGTTATTATTGGATTGGGAATTTTCTAGATTGTGTTTGTTTCCCAGGAAAATTTATTTGGTTGATACTGATTGTTCGTTGTTTGGGAAAATTATTGACAGTTGAGTGGATTGGAGGTGTTCCGGGTGGGGAATTGTGTGAAGGTGAACCCTGATTCCCCGCAAAAGCAAGTCAGATTCCTTACACTTAACGGTCAGTTATAATACTATTATGTGCCATTTAAGATTTGAGTCTTTTCTTTAATAAAGATGATCAATTGATGTGCAAATATCAAACTCCTATGAAAAATGTTCAAGTTAACATAGAACTGAATACTGATAATGCCATTTGTAAGGAAAATATTCGGTGATATTGTGGGTTATAGAGTTCATTTTAGTTTATTAGTCATTGTAGATTTTTTTATATAATGTACCTCAAATATCTACTAAACAATTAGATAAATTCCTCAATAGTTTTTTGAATTAAAGACTGGAGAATTGAATTCATAGGTTATACTGCTGTACCAAACTAATTGAACTAAAGCACCATACACAACCATGAATTTATTTTATTTATTTTTTATTTTATTTTTTTGGTTGAGCAGTCAAGGGTGTTAGGCCAGCTTACGCGCATGACTAATCCCCTCCCCAATCCAGTCAAAGGCATGCCATCCGCGTCGGGATTCGGGAATTTACAAGAAATTACTTTCTCACGGCTTGGCCCCAAGAATCGAACCGTGAGCAGTTATGTGGGAAGTGTTAGATAATGTCTCAATGGGACCACATAATTAAATGTGGTGTTATCATTTATAAGAAGCCTACAATTTAAGTGATTCAATTTAGTTAATAGGCTTAAGGGTATATGTGTTATGGACCTAATGTGTAGATACTAGTTGTATAATTTCTATTTCTATGAGGGGCAGAAATAGAAATTAAAACATATTGGTTAAAGTTGGTTTTCATTACCTTTCAGTTTTAAAACCAATAATGATTAATTTATTGGTTTTCATTACCTTTCAATTATGAAAACCAATTACAACCTTTAAAAGGTTATGGTCCCTATTCCTTCCCAAGTGGAAAAATAAGAATACTGTTTTTGTTTTTCTAAATCCTCTCAAGGAGAAACATAAGGCACCAAAGGGGAAAGGATTAGAAGGCAATAACATAATCAATAACAAAGAGTTCATTGATAATCACGCTTCCGTTTAACCGTTCATCAATGGATTCAGGTATGTCATTTTGTCTTGATGTGGTTGGCTGGAATAAGGTAAATGATCAAAAGTGTAAGGTTTATCTTGAGATGTTGTTATTAAATTAATTTATTTAGAGATTTTCTGTTTGGTAACTTAATGTGAGCATAAGTGTGAGATCGGATAAGTTAGAGTTCATTGGATATTCCGACTCCGATTTTGCTAGATGCCAAGACAGTAGGAAATCCACATCAGGCTATATTTATCTGTTAGCTGGTGGAGCAATTTCTTGGAGTTCTGCAAAGCAGACGCTCATAGCTTCATCCACCATGGCCGCAGAATTTGTAGCATGTTATGAGGCATCAAACCAAGGGATATGGCTGCGGAATTTTGTCACTGGGTTGCGCAATAGATTTGGCACTGCAAGACCACTTAAGTTATATTGTGACAATAAGTCTGCAGTTTTATATTCCAATAACAACAGGAGCTCGACAAAATCAAAGCATATTGATATCAAGTTCCTAGTTGTAAAAGAAAGAGTGCAGAGTGGACAGCTTTCCATAGAGCACATTGGGACAAACTCCATGATAGCGGATCCACTTACGAAGGGACTACCACTCAAGGTCTTTCATGAGCACACTGCTCAGATGGGTGTTGTTCTATTTGAGAACATTCTGGTTTAGTGGGAGTTTGTATTTATATTACTGCTTTATGTCAGCCTTGAGTTTTATCTATGTAATTAGATTAATTTCTGCAGAAATGAAATATTCAGTTTATTACGCTCTGTTACGTATTGTGAAGTATTGATCTCAATAAAGTTAAGTTGGACCAGTTGGAAATAGGCATGTATGGATCACATCACATGTAATTTCCATGCTACGCATCCATGATTGATCTATGTCATTTAGTTGTATTAGTATACGTGACCATTGGTGGGTCGAGTTACGATTGATGTAACGAAGACCGCTTAGTTAATGGACAAGATTGTTTGGATACCCTCAAGTTATGATAATAAATTTCTGAGCTCACTAAAGTTAAGCACATTTTTCAGGATACATATGTGGTCCAGTGGGAGATTGTTAGATAATGTCTCAATGGGACCGCATAATTAAATGTGGTATTATCATTTATAAGAAGCCTACAATTTAAGTGATTCAATTTAGTTAATAGGCTTAAGGGTATATGTGTTATGGACCTAATGTGTAGATACTAGTTGTATAATTTCTATTTCTATATAATTTCTATTTCTATGAGGGGCAGAAATAGAAATTAAAATATATTGGTTAAAGTTGGTTTTCATTCCTTTTGAACTTCCACAACCTTTCAGTTTTGAAAACCAATAAATAGAAATTAAAACCAATAATGGTTAAAGTTGGTTTTCATTCCTTTTAAACTTCCACAACCTTTCAGTTTTGAAAACCAATTACAACCTTTAAAAGGTTATGGTCCCTATTCCTTCCCAAGTGGAAATAAGAACACTGCTATTTTTTTCCTAAATTCTCTTAAGGAGAAACATAAGGCACCAAAGGGGAAAGGATTAGAAGGCAATAACATAATCAATAACAAAGAGTTCATTAATAATCACGCTTCCGTTTAACCGTTCATCAATGGATTCAGGTATGTCATTTTGTCTTGATTTCTTGATAATACACATGGTAAATGATCCAAAGTGTAAGGTTTATGTTCTGAAATTTATGTTTACAGGAAGCACACCCACCAACGACTCGGGACAACCCTAAGTGTTGCAACCATGAATTCTAAGTTTTTCTAACTAGAAGACCTGTAGTTTTATATGTTTTCATTTAATTGATGTACCTCTTCTTTGTGGTTTGATTCCTTTAGCTATTTGTATCCGGTACTGGTGGCAGCTACTACTACTCTTTATGTTCTATGATTCTGCAAAAACACCTGATTACCTTCATCTGTATGCAGGTGGAAAGAAGTTATTAACGCCTCAACCGCGTCTAAGGACTGGGTTTTTCTCTGTACTTGAATCCCATATGTTAACTCCTAGTACCATCAATGAGGCATGCACCTCTGTTGGCGTTGCCAAGTATGGAAGGCCAATTGGATTGGATGAAAAAATAAAGGTGGATCTAATTGTCATCGGCTCAGTGGCTGTTGACCCTAAGACGGGTGCTCGACTTGGCAAGGGTGAGGTATAGCAGAGTACTTGTTGTACTATTTACATTACATTTTTTTGCACATTTACAATTTAAATGAGTGAACATGCGAGGCTGCTTTAGAGGGTTTGGAATTCTGATTAGTATGACATCTGGGTACATTTTTTTTTCCTGACAATTTAATATGGTCATAGTGTAATGTTTATGTGGCTGGTATCATTTCATGAAATCCTTGTTCAAGTGTCATTCATACAAAATATGAGTTTTTTTTTTTTTTTTCCTAGGGTTGGAAACTAATCAAGGTATACTCTAAAGAGAAATTGTTTTGCTTTGAACTTTTTACATGCAATATTAGGTTTTAAGCATTTTTATTATTACTGGAAGTGGTTCATGTGTCATTATGCATGATCATAGTACACAGAGAGAGCGAGAGAGTACAATTTTTTTTGGAGACAGCTTCTTGTGTCAGTATATCTTAGAATGGTAATGACTTTTCCTCTAACGTGGTTTTAAACTTCAAATTGGGGTTAAATTTGGTGAGCTTGTTAGCTACATTGATTAAAACCCCAACCCCTTGATAATAAATAAAATGGAAGTCCATGGAAGTCACTAGACTGTTGGATTTCACGTTGACCTTTGGTTACCCTTGACACTAAAATATTGACAGGTACAGCACCATGTTTGGGAACATTCTGTTTAGGAATTTACTGGATTTTTTTTTTTAATGTGTGTCCCAGGGATTTGCAGAACTGGAGTATGGGATGCTGAGGTACATGGGTGCTATTGATGATTCAACACCAGTTGTCACATCTGGTGAACACTGTTTCTATATGATTCATTAATCATATCCTAAAATGCCTATTTTTTTTATAGAAAGTTCTTCTTGCATAAACATGATTCTGAAATTGTACGTTGATTCCCTCACATGTTGTTGCTTGCTTCTCCATATTTGAGCAGCTAGAAAATGGGAGATTCAAGTTTTGAACATTCTTGTTTTCTCCTTTAAATGTTCTCCAGCTTAACTATGAGAAAAAAGAAAGGAAAAAAAAAAACTGGAACCATGTTATTTACCTGCATTTGCATATCTTTTCCACTTTTGAGGCAATATAATGGGACATTGAATTACCTTCAGTTTGATAATTGTGAATAGTGGCAGTGTCTTTGTTCGAAAGTGTGAAAAAAAAAATTAAAAATTGTAATTTGGGATTTTAGGATCTGTGTCTGAAGCAGCAGTTGTAACGCATGCTAAGAAACACAATGAGTGATGTAACTTAAGACCACTTGTTTCTGCAGTACGCTTTTGAGAAGGGTCATTTTGATAGCATGAAAAGAACGTAATTGTGAGTTGAATGATTGTAATTTGTATGCCACTAAATAGATGCATCTGGCCATCGTGTTCTCATCTTTCTTGTCCACTTCATCCCTTCTTATTTTATATGTTTGAACTGTTATGACATTGCAATCTTTTTGAATTATTGAACAAGTATGTTTCTTTCTAGATTGTGTTAAATTTGCCTGTGAACTGCACTTGCAGTGCATGACCAACAATTGGTAGATGATATTCCAGTTGAGAAGCTATTAATCCATGATGTACCGGTTGACATCATATGCACTCCAACACAAGTAATTTTCACCAACACACCAATCCCAAAGCCTCAAGGTTAGCGATACTCTGCATTTTGCCACTTCATTGCATCCCTGAAATCATAATCTTCCCTTTAGTGGGTTGATCACACAGCCTTGAACCCATACCATGTATGATTATTTGGTGTCAATTTGTAGGGATTTATTGGGACAAACTGTCTCCTGAAAAACTGGGTCAAATTCGAATACTCAGAGAGCTGAAGAGCAAAATTGAACGGGAAACTGGAGAGAAACTTCCTTGTGGCCCATCAGAGAAACTCCCCCCTATGGCTCAGCGCAGGCGATAAATCTCTTTTGTTCTCTCTCTTAAGAATGATGAGGATTGTAATTTTTGAATTTTATGCATTTGAATAAAACAACACAGTTTAGAGTGTGTAAAGGTAGTGTTTTGTATTTGTTTGTACATTTTGTGTGCAGTATTAGAAATATTTTTTTTATTATTTAAACCAAATTAATCTGCAATTTTCAATACCTTGTTTTTATTCTGGCCAAAAAATTTTAAACATAGGATTGTAGTTGATTTTAATTGGAAAAAACGGAAAAAGGAGGGAGAAAAAAATGAAGAAGCAAGGACAAAATCCCGATAGCAGGCCCAAAACACCAAGTAACTATGTTCGGCCTATTAAAAGTTATTTTAAAATCTGAAAAAACTTCAAAAAGAAACTTAAAAATACAAGAAAGAATGTTTCGTAAGAATTTATATTTTGAAAAGTTAGGGTATTCGATAAATTACTTAATAATTTTTTGTTGAATATTTTAGCTTTAAATTATTTCTAAATTAAAGATCTTAAAATTTTAATTTTTTTTTATGAAATTAAAAAAATTCTATGAATTACATTTTTTCTTTAAAAAATTCCGTATTTTCTTTCAAAATTAGTCTAAAATCTGATACTGCGATGGATGAATTATTCTATTATATAATTTTGGAGATTTTTTTTTCAAAATCTCTATTACTAAGACTTTATAGCATAAAAGACATTTAATATTTTAATAATATCTAAGGTTTCTCAAATTAATTCAGAAAAAATTCGATTTTGAGAAAATCTCACAAAGAGAAATTCACTTCAACCCAGAGAAATTATTTCAAAACCAAAAAAATTCCCATCTCTAACCCAAAGATATTCACTCAAACCTAAAGAAAATCTCCCTCCAATTCGGAAAAATTCATTCAAATCCAGAAAAAATCCCTCTCTAACTCAAAAAAATTCATTCAAACCAGAGAAATTTTCCCTCACAATCTTTTCTGGTTGAAAACATAAACCTCATGCAAAATGTGTTCCATTTGTTCACACTTTGGCTGGAGTTTAGTAGCTCCAGTGCCAGTACTATTGACAATGATGGTAATTTCCTATTAGAAACGGGTGAATCCAACACATGCGAATTTTCTTCTGGCAACCCTAATGGTCCAAGTGTTATGTGTACCACTAATAGAAAAGATGCTCAACCATCCAGCAAGGTGTTACAATTTTGAGAAGCTACATTTTCTGTGTTCATTAACAAACAAACAAACAAAGATGGTTCTTGCACGATGTGAGAGTTCAATATCATAAGAGCAATTGGTGTGCAATTATTGACACCGACCTCTCCTTGTCGACCGCCATCGACGCCCCTGCTGCTGCCACCGGAGAGTCACCGCTTAGCCGCCACCTGCGCCCCGTCTCGCTCCGCTGCTACACTGCTGCCACCATCGCACCACCCTCTTTTCTCTCTCTCTTTCGCTGCTGTTGCCCGGCCAACCGCAGCTGCACCGTCGTCGCCCTTCCATTTCCGGCGCCCCACCCTCGCCGGTCGTCCTCCTGATAGCTGCCAAGATTTCTGTTGAGCATATTTTCGTTCTAAGCCCCCATCTTCTCCTAGCACAGCCAGCAATGGTGCCCAGGTTGCAGCTACGTATGTCAATAGTGGTATCCATGTGTTGCTTAGGGAGAGAACACTTGAGTTTCTCGAATCCCTACCAAAAAAATATAGAATAATGTTTTGGACTTTTTTTTTTTTGGAAATTTCATGACTCTTAATTTGAGCTTGATCTTTGATATGTGTGTGGAGTCTACTCATATATATGTGGGCTCTATATTATGAGTAATTGTGATAAAAATGTGAATTGTAGGAGCTATGTATGCGTGAGGGTCTCTACCACAATTGAAAAATATATAAATTATCTAGCATTAGAATAATTGTAGGAATAACCATAAGTAATGAATAAAGACGGGACCAAAATGAATCACTCAGCGGGTGTGACAGAGTGAGTGAGAGTGAGTGGAGGCAAGATCGTGACGCTGGCAGCAACGCAGCACGGGGCCGGTGATGGAGGATGGACGATGGTGGCGTAGGAAAAGGGTGGAAAGATTGGGTTGTGGTACGATGTACTGGAGAAGAAGAGAGAAAGGGAATTTTTTTGAGTTGAGAGAGTCAAATTTTTTTGTGATTTATGAGTGTGGATTGAGGAACTTTAAACATCATAAAATAATATTGTGAATTTTTTACATTATTAAAAATGGGAGAGAGATCTTAAACTAATTTTTTCTATAATTTTAGTCTGTTTTATTTCAAATTTCAAAACTTCAAATCAGTTTATAAGAAAAAAAATTATAAATTAAATTTCATTTGTATAGTTTATTTTAAGGTAAATTACACTCAAAATTTGAAAAAAAAATAAAATTAGCCATACACATTTTATATAATTACGCTACCTTTTTTTTTGTAAAACTAAATCGATTAAAACTAATAGAGATAGTGGGTAAATATTGAAATAACAAAAACAAAAATGCATTTTAGTAGATAAGATATGATGATATTATTTTTTTTTTTGTAATATTATATAAATAAAAAATTCATTCATTATAATGTTGCTCATTATAGACCATTCATTTGTATTTATTTATTAGAATAACACTAGTATTTAAATGGAATTTTCCTAAATATAATTTACCCTTTTAAAGAGGGAGGCAGAGTGCATGAGAAGGAAGAGCAAGTGATTGGTAATATGGTATTGAATTTTTGAACGTCAGCCAGTTTTTAAATTTTTTTTCCAGCGATCAGGTCATGGAAGTCTCGGCGGGAACACTTTAAAAACAGACCAAAAACCCAACCGTTGGAAATTCCAATACCAATCCTTTCCTCTTCCTTCTCGCGCACTCTGCTTCCCTCACACACCTTCTCTGTTGAAACATATGCACAATATACACATATAAATCATTCACTCAATGTTCCAATCATCCCAACCCTTTCTGCTCATTACGTGTTCGACGAAATTCCCCACTCAGTAATCGCTCACTTGGAACTTTTTGTTGTTGTTGTTTGGGTTGCGTATATAAAGATATGTATGTGATAAAGAGAGATGGTCGTCAAGAATCGGTGCATTTTGACAAGATCACTGCTCGATTGAAGAAACTGAGTTATGGGCTCAGTTCAGAGCACTGTGATCCTGTGCTGGTGGCCCAGAAGGTCTGTGCTGGGGTCTACAAAGGTGTCACCACCACCCAACTTGATGAATTGGCTGCCGAGACCGCTGCAGCCATGACCACCCACCACCCTGATTATGCCTCAGTACGTACTAGTGCTCGGGTTTTTGTTATCTGGGTTGCTTGTGAAGTGTTTTGATTAATACAGAACTTTTATGTTATGTTTGATGTTGACTGTTAATTGAGGGATATTGATGATGGGTTTGAGTTGATCTTTGCTTATTTGTTAATTATTTGCTTGTATTGCAAAGCAGTTAGCTGCTAGAGTTGCTGTTTCCAATCTGCATAAGAACACTATGAAATCATTTTCGGAGACGTAAGTGTTCATTTTAGCTGATTTTGTTTTTTGATTTTGGAATGTTTTGTTATGGAGAAAGTGGGTTGTAATGGATGGCTGATGCAGGATCAAAGTCATGTACTACTTTTGTGATAAGAAATCTGGGCAGAAGGCTTCTCTTGTTGCTGATGATGTTTATGAGATTATCATGAAGGTAATCACTTATGAAGATTCAATTAACATTTGCTATCAAGTATTTCCATAAATCCTATGAGATGGGCACAACATGATTTATTTATATAGAATAGTAATTTGGATATTTTTCTTTTTATTTCTTTTTATTTGTTTATTTTTGCAATTTCAGAATGCTGCTCGATTGGACAGTGAAATCATATATGACAGAGATTTTGACTATGACTACTTCGGTTTTAAAACTCTCGAAAGATCTTATCTATTGAAGGTTGATGGTAAAGTTGTAGAAAGGCCACAGCACATGTTAATGAGGGTTTCTGTTGGAATCCACAAGGATGACATTGACTCTGCTATCAAAACATACAATTTGATGTCTCAACGTTGGTTCACTCATGCTTCTCCAACACTTTTCAATGCGGGAACACCACAGCCCCAAGTATAATTTAATAATGTACAATGATTTAAAGTTCTTGCTCCTTTCTTTTGTTTTTGTACCTACATACTTTCTTTGATGTGTATGGCAGTTGAGTAGCTGTTTTCTTGTGTGTATGAAAGAAGACAGCATTGAGGGAATATATGATACTTTGAAGGAGTGTGCTGTTATCAGCAAATCAGCAGGAGGAATTGGTGTTTCTGTGCATAATATCCGTGCAACAGGCAGTTATATCCGCGGAACAAATGGGACTTCTAATGGCATTGTCCCAATGCTTCGAGTTTACAATGACACAGCCCGTTATGTTGATCAAGGAGGTGGCAAGAGGAAGGGTATTTTCATGCTTTTCATACTCCTGTTTTGTTTTCCCTTGCCTACAATTGGTATCTGTTTGTAAGGTTTAATTACTACTCTCTATCAACTAAAATTATGGTTCATTGATGGAGTGAACGGCGAAGCAAATTTATCTAGCCCCAAATAGTTTGTTTTTATTTATTCTATGTAATTGACTTTTTGTTGCCTTCGTTTCTGTTGTACTTGCAGGTGCTTTTGCCATATATTTGGAACCATGGCATGCTGATATTTTTGAGTTTCTAGATCTGAAAAAGAACCATGGAAAGGTAATATAAAAACCATACTGAGGTCAACTTGTCAATCATATGAATTGTCAATCTCAATCTAGAAAATTTTGAATTTTGCTTATGCATACAGGAAATTCTCTATGCTGGTGTTTAAATATGAGCAGTGCTGGTTCCCTTATAGCTCTAAGGTATCTGTTAGCTTAAATACCTTATCAATATTATTTTGTCGCAGGAAGAACACCGGGCTCGTGATCTATTTTATGCTCTTTGGGTACCTGACCTCTTTATGGAAAGAGTCCGAGATGATGGGGAATGGTCCTTGTTTTGCCCTAATGAGGCTCCCGGACTGGCAGACTGTTGGGGTGATGAATTTGAGATATTATACACTCGGTATGAAAAAGAGGTAGATAGATGATTTGCCTTCAAAAAGTTCAAAAGTTCATGTAGGATTAATCATAATATTTTTTGGGTAAATTACAAATACACCCCATGAGGTTTGCTTAAAATACGAATTGCCCACGTGGTTTGGAAAATTTCAAATACTTCCCTGTCAGAATTTTTTATTTAACAGAATTAATCGAAAAAGTGAAATTGCTAACTGTTCACTTATACAACAATAAAATTATTTGAATTATTAATTGAAATAAAATTTTATCATTATTAAAAACTATTAATTAACTTGATGATTTATTAATAAAAGGACCTATTTGTTATGAAATTAGAAACCTTAGGGGGCATAATGTAATTTTTAGAATCACACGGGGTAATTTGTAATTTAAGTAAACCTCAGGGGGTGTGTTTGTAATTTACCCAATCTGTATTGGACAACTGAATCTTCTGTTTTTTGATTCAGGGCAAGGCAAAGAAGGTGGTTTCTGCTAGGAAAATCTGGTTTGAGATTCTTAGTTCTCAGATTGAAACAGGAACTCCTTACATGCTTTTTAAGGTAAACTATGAATGCAAGCTCCTCATTTTATCTATTTTTATTTATTTGTGCTGGGTTTTTATTTTTGATTTTTGTTTCCCCTTCAGGATTCTTGCAATAGGAAAAGTAACCAGCAGAACTTGGGCACCATTAAGTCCTCAAACCTGTGTACAGAGATTATTGAGTTTTCAAGTCCAACCGAAACTGCAGTTTGCAATTTAGCGTCCATTGCTCTACCACGATATGTCAGGGAGAAGGTCAGTCGTTAAGATACCTGCTTAGCCGTAATAAGCTTACTTTTCATTTCAATGGTTATATAATTGGAACTATTACTATTTTTGGTTATACAGGGGGTTCCAATTGAGTCACAGCCATCGAAGATGGTTGGAAGTAGAGATTCCAAGAACCGGTATTTTGATTTTGACAAGTTAGCAGAGGTTTGTTATTTTGTGCTCTATTTTGGACTCCTTGTTTTCATTTTGAGAATCAAAAAAATTCTAAATTCAAAGAATTTGGTATGTGATTCTTTTTTTGCCTTTGTCTGCCTGCATTGGTAGGTTACTGCAACAATTACGGCAAATCTCAACAAAACAATTGATATAAGCTACTACCCTGTTGAAAAAGCAAAGAGGTCAAATTTACGACACAGACCGATAGGTATTGGAGTTCAGGGTCTTGCTGATACCTTCATCTTGCTTGGCTTGGCATTTGATTCACCAGAGGTATGGGTTTACTTTCACTGGGATTGTTTTGGTTTAGCTTAAAGTTGTTCGACTACTTTGACTTACATTCTGATTTGTTGATTGTAGGCACAGCAGCTAAACAAAGACATATTTGAGACCATATACTACCATGCACTGAAAGCTTCTTCTGCAATGGCTGCAAAGGATGGTCCATATGAGACATATCATGGGAGCCCGGTGAGCAAGGTTTGTCTTGCTCAATATACTATTATTGTCAGAGTCAAGACTGTCAAGCCACAAGTATCTTTTCTCTTTCCATAGCTTGTGTGTGTGTTTTAAAACAAACAATTAGATGGGTCAAATTGATCAAATCATTTAGGCTTCAAATGTTCTGAGTTCACTTATTTTCAACTAATTGATAGTATAGTCTTATTGGATGTACCATTCCTCATGCATTGCACTGTGACCATTTTTTATGATCTTGTGAAAAGATAGGAGAGTGGCTTTTTCAGGAATGTTCAGACTTCAAATACAATAATTATTAGAGAGCCACAATTTGTTCAGTGCATGTTACATCTTACATGCTTAGATAAATTATGTGAAATACACATGCAACAGTCCTTTATATAATATTTATATTTATCTATGCATTTCTTTCTGTCTGTCTAGGGAATTCTTCAAGTGGATATGTGGGCTGTGATGCCATCTGACAGGTGGGACTGGCCCACTTTAAGGGAAATGATTTCAAAGAATGGAGTTAGGAATTCCCTTCTTGTAGCACCTATGCCCACTGCTTCGACCAGCCAGATCCTTGGCAACAACGAGTGTTTTGAGCCTTACACCTCAAACATTTATAGTCGTAGAGTTTTGAGGTTTGCCTTTTGTCATGCATTTGGTTTGTTGAAACAGTGACCTTGACTGCACTTATGATCTATCCCTTTCTATTTCCAGCGGTGAATTTGTGGTGGTGAACAAACACCTCCTTCATGACTTATCTGAGACGAGGCTATGGTCTTCTGCTCTAAAAAACAAGATTATTTATGAGAATGGCTCAGTTTCGAACATCCCCGAGATTCCTGAAGAACTGAAAGCTATTTACAAGTATGGATGATTTACTTGTCTTAATTATATGTTTGCAGCATCTTGTGTAGTACTAAGATAGTATATCGTAAATTATCAGGACTGTGTGGGAGATCAAACAAAAAACACTGGTAGACATGGCGATTGACCGTGGGTGCTACATAGATCAGAGTCAGAGCTTAAATATCCACATGGATCAACCTGATCCTGGGAAGCTGACTTCCTTGCATTTCTACGCTTGGTCTAAGGTAATTGGACTAAAATTTGAAAATTGATCTAATTGTTATTAATGTTAATATTAAGAGTAGTCTATGCATACATATTAGTTTCTCTGTACTTATTATTCAATTTTTGGACATGCAAGGGTTTGAAGACAGGGATGTATTATCTGAGGACACGTGCTGCGGCTGATGCAATCAAATTCACTGTTGATACCTCCTTTCTTAACAAAGTAATTGATATGCATGTTGGTTATTTTAAGTGGATATCCCATTGGATGTCAATTATGGTCCTCTTTGTGTGTGTGTGTGTGTGTTTTTTTTTTAAAGCTTTGAAGGGCATGGATAATTTCTTTACCATGGGGCCATTATCCAAAAGAGAGAGAACGGGGGGGAATAGCCCGAATTAACTTGAAACTATTTTTTTTCTCCAAATCGTATACAATGTCTTGACAATTTTCTTGTTTGAATGGTCCTTACACCAGACAACTAATGTTATTGGACTTTCAAATGTTGTTTGAAGCACAACATATTGATTTTATTCAATAGGACATCCAAATGTGTCATTTATTTTTAGAATGTTTTGTTTATTTTATTACACTAACTTCTTGGTTGTTTTGTTGACAAAAGGAAAATGCTGTCAGTGTGGACCACGATGATGAAGCTGCCAAGGCTCAAGTGGTATGTTCATTGCAGAACCGGGAAGAGTGCATGGCCTGCGGAAGTTAAAGGCCTTTGCCCGAGAATCTAATGGAATGCTTGTTTAGTTAACAAATCGCCTTGCACAACCTAGCAGAAAATGAGTATTGTTGTAGAAGGTTTTAAAACAAGTGCAAGTCTCCTGCAACTTTCTTTATGTATCTGTGTCTTTTAAGAACTTCCATGTTCATACCATTCGGCAAATCTAGTAGTCTCCATTTTGTACAGAGTTAACGGAGTTTGCAAGAACATGTATTGTATATAAAATGGCATTTGCTTATATATTCTCGGTTGCCTATGCTTTGCCAATTCCTTAACATCTGTTAGTGTGGCGATTTTTGCAAAAATCATCTTTTGATTTTGAACTTAATTCTTTTTATTCTATGATATGCACCAACTATATTTTTCTTGGGGAGAAAGTAGAAGATTTTGTTATCGTTGCCACTATGTAGATTTTTAGTAGATGCTGTTAATATATATATTTTTTTTACTTATTTTGAGGGAAACTAGGGTTGCGTTTGGTAGAGTTTTGTAAATATGATTTGAGAGTATGAGTTGTATTTTGAGTTTGTGAGTTGTGGAATTATGATTTGAGTGTAAAAAATTTATTTGGTTATGGTTTTTGAAGAGAGTGTTGAATTGAGTTTTGAATTGAGTGTGAAATTGAGTTTTGAAAGTTTGATTTGACATGTAAAGTAAGAAAATTTGTTTGGTTATAAGTTTTGGAAAGAGTATTGTTGAGTGCATGGCCTGCGGAAGTTAAAGGCCTTTGCCCGAAAATCTAATGGAATGCTTGTTTAGTTAACAAATCGCCTTGCACAACCCAGCAGAAAATGAGTATTGTTGTAGAATGTTTTAAAACAAGTGCAAGTCTCCAGTAACTTTCTTTATGTATCTGTGTCTTTTATGAACTTTCATGTTCATACCATTCGACAAATTTGGTAGTCTTCATTTTGTACAGAGTTAACGGAGTTTGCAAGAACATGTATTGTATATAAAATGGCATTTGCTTATATATTCTCAGTTGCCTATGCTTTGCCAATTCCTTAACATCTGTTTGTGTGGTGATTTTTGAAGCAAAAATCATCTTTTGATTTTGAACTTAATTCTTTTTATTCTATGATATGCACCAACTATATTTTTCATGGGGAGAAAGTAGAAGGTTTTGTTATCGTTGTCACTATGTAGATTTTTAGTAGATGCTGTTAATATATTTTTTTTTTACTTATTTTGAGGGAAACTAGATTTTTAAAATTTAATGCTAACAACAGTAGTTATACCGGTGAGGTTGATTTTAAATTTTAAAACAACTCGACAAACAGGCTTTTTTTTTTTTTTTAGATTTTTTTAATGTGTAATTCATTTGATGGAATGATTTGATAGTGATTTGTGGAAAGAAGAGGATGATGATTCATGCGGTTTATCAATGTCATTAAAGTCAAGAGAGCGGAAACAAATAATAATGTACAAGAATCATGTTGAGAAATCCTATGTATAAATTTTAAGAATGATTATTATTGTTTCTATTGTCTTCTTTCAATCCTATTTTTCTTTCTTACTAGTCAAACAAAGATTGAAGTAATCAAATCGAAAATGAATTGCACAACCTACATTCCAAGTATTTGTGGGATTCCTTAGACATGTTATGGTCATTGACTCCTTGTGGATATATCATCTTGGTTTTCTCTTTTTGCCGTGATTGCTGTTGAGTTCACTTCATGAGTCAGACTGTTTAGACTTCTACTTAGTTGCTTTTTGACAGCATTTTTGTTATTCTTTATTTATGTTATATGGGATTGTTTATTTATTTATTTATTTTTTAATAAAGATAAATTGAATCCCACTTTATCTACCCATTCACTTGAAACTAATCTGCATCCATTTTCACTTTCTGAAATATTGTATTTGGTTGGAGAATTTAAGCAGAGATTTGGAAAAAAAAAAATAGAAAAGATTTCATCTAGTTTCACATTCTTTTTCTTTTATCTTTTTAAATCTCTCACTAAATCTTCTGGCCAAATACAGCGTAAGTGAGTTTGGGCTTTTTCTAGCTGTTCAATGGCTGCCCCTGCTATAAGCCTTTATTGCCTTTTTCTCATAGTGTGTTATGCAACTCTCCCTATCATCCAGTTATACTACTACTTGAAAAAAAAGAAAAAAAGAAAAAAATTGCTATCTTATAAAAAATGAGAACACGACATTTCTTGGTTTTGTTTTTATACGAAATGAGGCGTAATGAAGATTAAAAAGATTTTGGGTAAATTATAAGATATGGTTTGGCAATCTTGAAAAAGTCAAAAAGTTACCTAAAAAGTTAAAAAGTTATTACTATTCATAAAAAAAAATATTAAAAAATAATATACAAATAAAAAAAAGCCCCAAGATTGGTACTGACGTGATGGTGAAGACCGGGGAGACAAAAAAAAAGTTATAGTAAAATATTCACCAAATTGAATGGTAAAGTTGGGCTCGTGGGGGCCCACTATGGGTCTTGTTTTGATAATCAAAACCGTTCAATATGTAGAACTCGTCTAGTACTATATGTCTACAAGGCATCACGTCTATCGGATATCGCTAACTACATGATCAACTCAGTTTTGTATAAAAATGGATGGTGTTATAGTTAATAGTTAACAAAAAAACTAACACGATCAGATAGCTATCGATATCTAATCAACGTGATTTTTTACAAACATATAGTACTCGACAAGTTTTACACATTGAACGGTTCCGATTAGAAAAATGAGACCCGTGGTGGGCCCCCACGGGCCAAACAACACCATCCAATCAAAGCTCGAGAATGAGACAATATTTTCTCATCTATTCACCCAGCCAGTCACCACTGCCATTCGTTACGGCCTCCTACCCTATCTTCTCCTACACATTTATACAATTTTTTAATACACGTTTTTTCATAAAAAGTCAAAAAGTTAACCTAAAATCCATATTTTTTTCCTCAACTTTTTAGTCTAAAAAGACAAAGTGTACTTATTTAGGACACCCCAAACAATCCCCCCTTGAGGTTTAATTGAAATACAAATCGCCCCTTATAGTTTGGAAAATTACATTCCACCCCTTCAGATTTCTAATTTCATAACAAATCACCACTTTTATTAATAAATCAGCAAGTCAATTAACAGTTTCTGATGATACTAGAAATATGTTTCAATTAATAATTTAGGTAATTTTATTATTGTATAGGCGAGCAATTATAAATTTTATTTTTTTAGTTAATTTTATTAAATAAATTTTTTTAATAAGAAGATATTTATAATTTTTTAAATTACAGAAACAATCTATACTTTAAGTAAATTTCAATAAGTATATATATAATTTATCGAAAGATTTTCTATGCAGGGCAAGGTGCCTGAGTTGTGCACTCTAATTTCTTGTTTTCTTATTCCCTCTTACCGATTGTTAAAAATAAAAAATAAAAAAAACTAATTACCAAATTTTCTTCTAGAAAATTAAGTTCACTTTTCAAAAAATTAAGTTTTTTTATTTTTTGTTTTTAGTAATTTTAAAAATATTTTACGCAAAGTTTTTATTTTTTAAATACACCTAATCTAAATACGATTAAAAAAATATATAATATTTGTGCAAAAAGTTTTAAAAAATTAAGAGTTAACTACCAAAAAGTCTTATTTACAAATATTATAGTAACTCAGGTCCTATTTAAGATTTTTTGAATCAATAAGTCTTATTTTGTAAAACTGAGAATATTTTTAATTTTTTCTAATTTTTAAAATTAGGAACATTATCAATTTTGCATAGTAATGTTCCAAATAATTATTTTACTAATTGATGAAAAAATAGAACATGAGATTAAATATTTTTATCTTTCTACTTATTAGTTTGATTCAACTATCTAATAAAATCAAGAAGATTATTAATTTTTTTTCAGTTTTAAAACTAAAAACATTATCAGTTTTTTCATTTTAATTGTTTTTTTCAAATTTTGCACATTAATGTTCCATCATCATGCTCCTTTATAGACAAAAAATTTTTAGTTTGCACAAAAAAATAATTTAGTTTTTTTAATTTTTTCAAAAAAAAACTTTTTTTTTTGCACATAATTTTAGATAGTTTTTTCAATTTGAAAGTTGATATTTTAAAGTTTTGAAAATCAAAATAAATGTCAAATCATTATGTTCTTTTATATATAATCATAAATGATGAATAATCATTGTTTGAAGGACAATTTTAATTATTAAAAATTTAATGGGACTTGAAGGCCCAAAAAATCTCAGTTAAGGCTTAATGGAGTATAAGTTCATAAATTAAGACTTGTGTGTAAATACTCCAAAAATTAACCAAATACAAAAATGTATTTTGTTGTATTAAAAAATAAGGTTTAAATTTTTTTATACAATTTTTTTAATTTTTAAGTATATTAAGATTAAGTAATCTAAAAATTAAAAAAAATTAATTAAAAGATTTTAATAAAATTATTAAAAATACAAAAATATGAAATAAAAATTTAGAAAACTATTTTTAAAACCAAAAACCAAACTGGGTGAGCTTTCTTGATTATTTTCAAATTTTGAATTTGAATTTTGAGCGATGATCTAATGTAGCTCCCAAGCCATTTTTCGGCCTAATTCCTATCGCATATCGCTTGAGGCTTAAAAATCATTTTCAGATGGACAATGCTACGAAAACATAAATTATGTATAGAAATTTTATATAGAATGATGTGTTGTATTTATTTACATTCAGCAGAAGTTTGAAGTCCATTACTATGATTCACGATTGCAAATATGTCATTATTACACCATTCTATATAAGTTTTTTTTGTATAAAAATTCAATATGTTTATCATTTTTCTTTGTAGATTAATTTGTTGCTAACTCGCTTTCTAGTCAACTATCATAATTTCTACATGCATTTTTCATTTCTAGATTTCAAAACGTAATGCAGCCCATGCTACCAAAACTAAAAATGTTAAAAAGGAGTAGAACATTTTCCCCAATTTTAGTAATTTTTTTTTTTTAAGAAACTATTTTAAGATACACATTGAAAAAGAGAACAAAGACTCACAGAACCATTCTTCTTGGCAATGAAATGGGTGGTCCTTCACGAAGTAAAAGTCAATCTGCAATGAAAGACAATGCAGGAGTTTGATGAAGTCCAGATTGCCGTCTTGAAGTTTCTTCGTCTGAGTTAGAGTGTGGTATAAAGGCTCAAGTGGTATGTTCATTGCAGAACCGGGAAGAGTGCATGGCCTGCGGAAGTTAAAGGCCTTTGCCCGAGAATCTAATGGAATGCTTGTTTAGTTAACAAATCGCCTTGCACAACCCAGCAGAAAA